AGAGTTCTTATCAGATCTCCAATCTCATCGTCCCGTGCCTCGTGGGACCCTGGCACGAAGTCGACGAACCGCCTCCCACATTCCAAGCCCCCTCCCCCTTTCCCCCCACCTCCCCCCCCCCTTAAAAATGAAAAGTGTCGGATCTAATGAGGCCGCGTCACCCCGTTCGTGTATCACCAACTACTACGGAGTACTCAGGGATATGGTCTTTTCGGTGCAGTGGAGACTCACGAGCAAGTGGCCTTGGAGTTCTATTCGGACGCCCGCCAAATATCAGGGGCTGACGTGCCAATCAGACGGGCGAGATCGAAAGACTAAACGAGGCCCCGAGAGGGGAGGGGCTTAGGGCAGGAGAGGACTCAGAGGAGCTTGGGAGGGTGGTATCGAATTGATGAATCGAGCGGCGGATGGCGCTGTGAATACGGAGGATGGATGTGTGGGAAGTGGGAGGGCCAGCTGATGGCCGTGTGAGGAAACATACCGCCTTCATCCAGCGCACCATTTGGCGGAGAGTGGTTTCTCAATCCGCACTGATTCCTCAGCCAGTACCCGAAAAGGCCGAATTCCAGCTCTGGCATCCGCAGCGAGACGGATGGCATCTTCCCAGTTGCAGCGAGGCATGTTCGGTGATAAAGACTATCACGCCGTTTCTGGTCTTGTCCACGGAACCGCATGGGGAATGGGGCATGGGGAGGCCCCAATTCTTCCCCAAACCTGCCAGAGATTTCCGAGCTGAAGAGCTGTGGCTACTCGGTCATCCCCCTTCGTCACCGTTCCAGGTTCTACCTCGACCTCCCATACTCTGGGTGGAGCCTGCGCCATCTCACCAATCCCCATCCCCAGATCGCGCCCGCGGTCGAAATCCACGGTAACGAGGCCCAGGCGACGAATCGCACCCGACCGGCTCGAAATAAGCATAAATGAACAGTCGATGAGAATGTGGAATACGAGGGGGCCCTGCAACCAAGAGCCTCCCCTGTGAATTACATCAGCGGTTGGGTAAGCGTCTTGCAGGTTGCGTCGAGGAATCAGAGATGGGGAAGCCGTCAGACTCGCACGTTGATGGATGATGGTGGATGGGAATGTTTCGGTGCGACACCCGCAGATTATGGAGATTGTTTGTCAGGTGAAGGATGACGATGATGATGATGATGATGATGATGATGATGATGGTGATGGTGAGGAATGGGTCATGGGGAGAAGGTTCTTGAGAGGAATGAGGTGCTCGAGTATGCTCACCGCTGCGTTTGGTGAGATGAGAGTCTCATCATGAGACGCATGAGAGAGCGAGATGCCAAGATGGGATTTGGCTCTCGTTGCGGAGCTCGTGAGATTGGGACGGTTGCTTGAATGGTGTCTCTCTGGCCGAACGCTGGAATTGCTGGATCTTCGTGGCTTGAAAGTCAGGAAATCCTCACAAATCACAATTCCATTCGGATCCTCCTCCCTCCACATCCAATCCCTCCGCCCTTCGCATCTCACATCTCTTCACCTGCCTGACCTGCTCATCCAGCGGGCCAGCACTCCTAACTCGTAAAATCCCACTCACGAGAAATCCCGTCTTCTCCGCCCATATCGATTGGCCCCTTCGCATCAGGTTTCCAAGCATCTCAGGTTCTTAGCCTGCGTCAGCCGCGCGACGTGCAACTCGTCCTTCCCTCGCCCCGACACGAGCGGAATGCCTCCTGTCATTTGGTGGGGAGAGGGGATCATGTGAATTCAATTCGTTCTTTCGTACGATCGGCCATGAGGATGCTGGTTTCATGCGCCACGGTCCCGTCCCCTCAGCTTACTCTAGAGCTGTGAGGGTGCCGAGGAAGATCGCTATCGACGCATTGCGGAGCCTGGAGTGCGAGACGGTCGGTGACCAGTGGAGGGAGGCAGGTAACGAGTGAGATCTGATCATTGGATGGTCGTCGATCATCAATGATTGCCTGAAGTGTGCAAAGTCAACACAAACCGAAAGGGAATTCATGGATAAAGCTCGCGTAAGTACGGACTCTCGTCGGAGGTATTGCCTTTTCCCTCCCGGAAATAAGATACGCAGCATAGGTTGTGCGCCACACGAAAAAGCAATGAGACGAAGCGGTAAACCTTAAAATCCCAGGGATGGTTTAAGCTTCATGCTGCTCGGACGGATCGTCGTCGTACTTGGGAAGCGAGCAAAACGAAGATAAAATGCCCATGTTATGTGAAGCTGGACGATCCTGGCTCTTTGGACCTTTAGGATCAATGGATTCCCCCGAGCTTCCGACTCGACTATAAGCGTGTTTAATTGCCTAATTAGTCGCGTTCTAGAATGTCTTGCTAGGGTGCAGTTCTGTACTGTGGTCTGTAGGACCCAGGGATCTTAGATTTCGAACCACTCAGATGCCCTGAAGGAACAGGTGGGATTCTGAACTCCCTCGAGCATCCTCTTCCTCGACGTCTGAAGTCAGTGGCGCCTTCTAGCGTGGGATTTGTATTTAACCCTGGTGCGTTTAGTCCACAAATCAAAGCGAGCATCTTACTATCATTTACCCGGTTGGATCTCTGACTTTCCTGCTTCCTTTTTGACCACCGGAAGGTCGAACTTCGTGAGAGGGGACGCTGGAGGTGGGAGGTGATGATTACGCAACCACCGCTCATACCTACCCTAGTGTCGAGTGAGGAAGCTCGTCTTGTCATCCAGTGCCTCCAATCAAAGTGGTGGGGATACGACCTTCGATGGGGGCTTTTTACGAATCCCAAGTCAGCCTGAGCCTGCGCAACGTACCCCCGTACCCCCGTGCCTCCGTACGAAACCGTGGCCAGCTGGCGAGGACATTACTATAAGGTTATTTGAAACATGATTACCCTGATGATTGCGCCGGGACGGAACGTACGAGTCTGACATGCAATCGAGAATCAAGTGGTGGCCTCATCCAACCTTCATGACGCCTAAGGTTCATGGCCCATTCCCAATGCTCGATTCGAAGTCCATCCATGAGATGTGAGACATGAAAAGGACGCAAGGGCTGGGCGTCAGCCCATTCCAAGCCGGTGCGACACCAGGTAATACTGTACGGAGTACTGTACTACCCCCCCTAAGATTTGTTCGTGTGTGGGTCAACAAAGACATACTTCGTATGACGGGTTGATTCGCTTGCGAGAAGTTTCCCCCCTAATGATTCGCTCACCTATCCCTACACTAGATCCACTGAATAGCCTTTATTTAAATGGGGGGGATAGTAAAGAGGAAGGCGAGAGCGAGAAAACGCACGCCCAGACGATCGGGGCCCGAGTTAAAATTCATGCTTAAAAGACACGCCGAACAAGGTTACTTGTGGCGTTTTTCGGACTACCCTTGTGACCATGCCAAGTCTCCCAAGTCTTCCAAGTCTATGCCCAGCTCTGAGAGCCTGTGTCTGAGTAGGTCCGAGTCTCCGCGAGGGTTTCTTGTTGCTTGGCTAATTGGACGGCGAAGGGCGGAATACCAAATAGCATTGGACTTTGGGACGAGAGCTTGGATTGAAGGTGAAGGCCACAGAAGGGATGGAGGCTTATCCATCGGACCGTCTGGACGTGCAGAAGTCCGTCCGTCCGCCGATCTCATCTCGGAGCGAGAAGGGATTCTTCATACGTATTTGATGAGCACGAATCATCTGGAGCCGGGGTTTGGGTTCGATTGCTGGAACCATGCTCGTGAGCACCGAGTCGTACTGTAGGCATGGGAGCAAGACGAAAGGCCGGTTGATTGAGAGATGAGATAGGCTTCGGCACATGAAGGTGACTGCCGACGACCGTGCTGATCTTCGTCGTTTGCATCTCCGTATCATTGCCACATTGGTGACATCCCCTGAGGTTGGGTTGACGATCGTTCGGCTGTGATAGGTGGGAGCGCGGAAGGTCGCCAGAGCGAGATCAAGAAGGTGGAGCGTGTCCAAAGTCTGTCGCCGGTATTCTTTGTGTTCTCGTTGGAGCAGACGCCTCGGACGGAACTTGGAGTACGTGGTTACTCGTGAAAAGGCAGGTGACATGTGCCGGACGAAGCAATTCCTGTGGACATGTGTTTGCTCCGTGATCATATCTTGAGTCTCCTGGGTCACTAGGTGTCTGAGAACACGCCTTTAGCGGTCGGACGAGGAGAATGCATACGAAGGTAGGAATCAAAAGCGGATGTGAGTGGAGATCCATTCGTGATCAGCGAAGGTCAAGCCTTCAGGAGTCGTCGCCTGGGGAGGAAGCCGAGGAAATCTAGTTCACAGCGACATCGTGTAACGTGTTACTGAAACTTGGTATGACGTCGAAGAAGCATATCTTTCATTCGATGAATGTCACTCTCGGTAAGTTGTGGAGAGAGTTTTCGCCTTGTATGAGGGGTTCGGTCGATAAGCTGTCGGCTTCCGTCGTGGCAGCACCAGAATGGGGTACCAATAGCGGTACCAATAGCGGAATGTTCAATTGCATTCCGCCTTGGGGCCAATTAGGTGCAGGAGTCTAGATTCTCCTCTGCGAGTTCTGTTAGATGCACCCCTATTTCTATGGCCGTCGGACACTTGACTTTGTGTGGACACTTAGCTTGCGTTTACACTTCAATGGACCGCAACACCAGCCAAGCAGATGCCGAGCATCCGCCAAGCGAACCTTGACAGCAACAGACATACGTATACTTTAAAGTTAGGCCGAACTGACCATGTTGACAACTTTGCCAACTTTGCCAACTTTGACACTATGACACCATGACACTTTGACACTTTGACACTTGACAACTTGACAACTTGACAAGCCTGTTGACGTGGCCGGGCAATGCTGCCAGATCCACTGCTATCTCCGCTGATATCGATGCGTTTTACCAGGCATGTTAACCAATCATATCCATGGAAACTTCCATAATCTCAGTCGAAGGACCAATCAGGCCGGTGGTGAGACTGGATTCTAGTAGATTCCATGAAAAGCATATGCTGTAGGTTGAAGACGCCCGAGTTAAAATCCTTGTGGATCCACAAAAGAACCTTGGAGCTGGGGGGAGGATAGTAGATCGTCTGTTAGCTTAATGGTAGAGCAGAAGACTTCTAATGTTTACTTCTATGGTCAAGTTCAAGTCTTGAATACGCCTCACGATTTATTTTATCATTTTGCTAATATCCGGCCTCATCATCGAGGATCCCTCGCCACAGCCACCAGCCATACCTGATGCCCAGGTGGACGGGAGCAACGGAAGCTGATTTTGTGACGGAGTGGGAGACGGGAGCAACGGAAGTTGATTTTGTGATGGAGTGGGAGACGGGAGCAACGGAAGTTGATTTTGTGATGGAGTGGGAGACGGGAGCAACGGAAGTTGATTTTGTGATGGAGTGGGAGACGGGCCAGGAGAGATGTTGCGTGGGGCTGGATATCAGATGCTGACGTCGCGGAACGGACGCTCCTCAGGTGGGAATCACCGTGGGATGGCGCTTGCGGGGCGTGTCACCGTTTCACGACTGACTCACTACTGACTTTCTTCGTCCGTGGGGAAGCTCGACGAGGAGCCTGCCATCGTGGTGGCGAGGATCTCGGGGTGACCTCACCGCGTGGTCCACGCCAGTTTGATATCCAGGCCGGATTTTTCAGATCAGGTGGTCCTACCTGGAACAGAGGAGCGGTCGTGGGAAAGGTCAACCGTGACCAAACGACCTGCGCAGCGGTATCCGTGTGCGAACCTTCTGGCTGCGGCGAGGCAGTTCGACGCCGGCCAGTCTGCACGGCACTGAAATGGGCATCGATTGTTGGTGACTTGTTTCGAGATGCTTGCGCTGCATGATTGGCCGCGTATCTCGCTCCAACCCTTGAACCAACCGCATCTGCTGGATTCCTGGAGGCCCATCGAAGGCCAGAGGTGAAGATGTTGGAGAAGTCCTACGTTCTATTTGGGCCGACGGCGGGTCCTCCATTCGATGGTTGGCCCTGTCTCCGTGCCATGAGAGACCAGGACTGGACGGCGGAGTGGTTGGATGTTGGTCTGATATCATATGGACGCACACCTGCGTGGAAGTAGTGTATTTTCATGTCAGCACCCGGAGGAGGCGTTCATCCTGGACGGCCGAAGAGACCGACGTCCATATATACTCGGTAATTCGTAAACGAGCCTGAACTCGTAATTCGCAAAGCGTCTAAACTCGTACTTGGTAAAGACTCTAAAATTGGTTTCCTGGCTACAGAACGACCGGGGCTGCCGTTGGTCAAGATGGAAATAAGCTCATGCCCATCGCGGGATCCACACGGTTGCCGACTCCAGGAGTCAAGTCCGGAATCCTAATCCAACGCCCATCCACTGACTCCGTCCTTGGAAGTAGCCAGTGCGGACGAGTACATGACCGCCGCATTTACTTCTGATGCAGGAGCGGACGGGAGAGGCCTCTGGTCGGTCCAAAACCGTCGAGACAACGAGGCTCGCCAAAGGAACGGCTCTCGAGCAGCCATCTCTCGCAGAAGTCCAGCTGAGAGAGAGAGCAAGGTCCTGTCTCCTTTCGGACCCTCAAGATCGGGACCGAAACACCAAGAACAGTGCCACGAAGCCAGGGAGGTCCAACAAGCGCCGAGCTGGATCCATGAGGGCTCCTAGGCATCGGCACGACGAAGGTTGGAGCTGGAGTCCTCATGCTCGGCGGGAGACAGGATCATGTGTCTTTGGAGAGCCAGTCCTCGCCACCAAGATGATACAAGAGACCAACGGCAGGAATCTCTCTGCTTCACTCCTGGGGGGGTTGGGGAGAAGGGACAGACATGCAGATGGCCGGGAAAGACAGGGAGAGAATGTGTCTGGGACTCTCGGGAGTCTAGACAGAGGAGATGCAATTCCATCCAGGGAGCGACTGAAGCGTCTGCAAAAGACGGCTGCGGGGTGAAGGGCATGAACAGGTAGGCACGGGAGGGAATATCTCAGGAGGAGGTCACATCTCAGGAAGAGGTCACATCTCAGGAGGAGGTCACATCTCAGGAGGAGGTCACATCTCAGGAGGAGGTCACATCTCAGGACTGCCTGGGGGGTAATATCTAGGCAATATATCTGGAGGGGAAATATCTCAGGAGCAGGCGATATCTCAGGATGAGGTAGCATCTCAGGACTAGGCACTCCGGACCTACGTACGTTGCAAGATCTTAGGACCACAGTGCTGTACAGCAAGTAGGTCCTAGGGACCAGTCCCGTGCTGCCCAGGTGGCATTCGCGAGCTGGAGGATTGATCATTGATGGTGTGGGCATGTTGGAATTCCGTATTCCGTATACCGTATTCCTTGGTCCCCATGCGTATTCCGTGGCAACCTTCCGTATTCCGCGCCAACATTCCGTCCGTATTCCGGACTAGCCCTGCTCGTCCCCACCAGCAGACTCCCATCACAATACGGGGGATATACGCGGCAAACGGAAGGCCCTTCGTTCTCGTGCGGAATGAGGAATTACCAACACCCGCACTCGACGGGGTGGCAGCGCGCCACTCCCACAGGTTGGAACGAGGGTGACAGCTTGCGCTGCACGAAGGAGGGTGACATCTTGTACGGCGTGCGACGTACAGTCCTGTACGCGACAGTCGTTGTCTGTAGGGTTTGGCCTGGCAGAGTGGCATCCCTCCGCCCTGGATGCTCCCATGCAGTCTGCAGCTCTCCCTCCACCATTCCCCGGACCCCTGAGCCCCTTTCCCTCCTCCTGTCCTGCCCGTCCGTCCCTGGCCCCCTGCCCGGCCGGTCGACCTGTCCTGTGCGTAAACCTAATCTGCGCTCACGTCCCAAGATTTTCTCGTTTTATTGTCTGCCCCAGCCGCTAGTGGCCGCTAGTGGCTAGCTGCCCCACGAGCGACTAGCCCGCCCGGAGTAGGCAGAGTACGTCGTACTCCGTCGACTCGGTTGACTCAGGAGACTCGGTAGATTCAGGAGACCGCAGGGGGACGAAGCGAGGCCAAGACCGGCTCCTCACTGGGGACTTAGCGAAGAAAGAAAGCTCCTTGCTCGTAAACTCGTGACGCCGAGTGACTGACGGCTGCTCTGTTGGCTCCTGCTCTGCCTACTTACAAGCCGCTGCTCGCTCCCCATCCGGCCCTCTCTGACTTCTCTTTCAAATCTCCACTCACGACGGACCTGCTCCCGAGCACCTCCCTCGCCCGACATCGTCAGATCTTCACCGCAGACCGTCGACACATGCCGTGCACACCAACACAGTTGCACCTGTCCCTGGATACCTGCCGCGCGCTGTACCACGCCTCGTGGAACCCGTCCACCCGCGAGACTTTCGTCGTTCTTGGCCAGCCTGAATCTGGTCCGGTCCCGTGACGCCGATATCTTTCGCTCTCACTCCGCTCCTGCCCAGCCGAGCTCGACGCCCAAGGAGGAGCTCGACGACGACGAACCCTCCTCGCCGCACTTCTTTCCCCCCCCAGACTCCACCACCGACATCGACCACGGTTTGGCCCACCAGCCTCCTCGCGTCATCCAACAAGTACGTATCTTTCTTCCCTTGGGGTTTATGCAATTGGGCAGCGCGACCCACCGCGGCGCGTGCCAGAAGTGGTCTGGGAACGCATTGCTGGCCATCGATCATCGATCGCTAAGCTCCGCGTCATTATTTTGGATGCTTTTGTCGTCGGTGGGTTGTCGCCGCAACACCAATCTCCATCTCAAGTTCCAACGGCTCTTTCTCCCTCGAGAGCCTCACAGCCAGAGCCCCAGGGACAAAGCCTGATCCTGGCCCTGAGCCCGAACCTGAACCTGGTCAGAGCCAGAGCCAGAGCCAGAGCCAGAGCCAGAGCCAGAGCCAGAGCCAGAGCCAGAGCCAGACCTTGACCTTGAGCTTGAGCTTTGTTATGGTCCCGCCGCACAACAGTTGGTCTCGGTCAGCATTCCACGCGCACTCCAATTCCGAGGTCGAGCGTGAGTTCTAAGCTTCCACGACGCTCTGCTTCAACGTGGCCTCAAGTTCGGGACCTCCTCCATTTTTCTCCGCTTGGTCCGCTGCTAGCTATCGGGGAGCGAGAATCGTAGCTAACAATCATCTGAAGCAGCTGGGATTGACCACCAAACGTCTTAGCAGTACGACTAAACTTGCGCATCCCAGAAATTGGGCCTTCCCCTTTGGAAACCCACCACCACTTCTTGAACGGATTACCCTCTCGGCGGCCATCCAAGCTTTCTCGGACCATCAAGCTGGGTCGGCCATCCCAGACAGCACGTTGAACACTGATCCACAATCGTGGGCATTTGCAACTTCGAGACCCCTAGCATCAAACACAGTCACTCCGCCGTGGACCCGTCGGCAATCCTCCCAGGAGTGAAGAGACGAGTGAAGAGGGTTCGGACATCGCTGCGTCGTCGCACTGCAGACGGAAAGCAGTGGACCGGTTTCTTCTAGCGAACGCCATTGAGGAGCGCCCAGCCATCGTCATGATGGACACCTACCAGGGGCACGTACGGACGCCTGCCGATGCGATCAAGCTATTCGAAGCTTGCAGACTCGGCCTATTACCACGAGTCCAGAGGAGACTTTCAGAGAAGGAAAGACAAACCATCAAGTCAGGATCCGTCTTCGTCTGGGACGAGCGGGAAGCAGGAATGCGAAGATGGACGGATGGCAAGTCATGGTCTGCGAGCAGAGTTTCCGGGAGCTTTTTGACGTATCGAGAGATGGAGGGCAAGCGAGGTGGAGGGTCATTTGCACAAGCACCCGTGCGAAGAACAGGAGGCAAGACCCCAGAGAGCGGACGAGGGAGCGACGAGGATCAAGAAATGGATGGTGAAGGACCCGATGGATACCGGTACAAGCTGGATGGATTGATGAAGCAATCTTTCAGCATCACGACCTCGACCGGACAACACCTTCATCTCATCAGCTACTATTCACGGCCACACCCAAATGTCCCAGAGATTGCGCAACCGACCACCGACCCAGCGCTGCGACACATCGTACCCGTCAAGGGAATGTACCCAGAATCCACCGTCCACGAATCTCAAGGACCGGCCGTTACTCGAGCTCCAATGCAGCAGAGCCCATACATGCAACCCCCTCCGCCCCAGCATCTTCAGGTCTCTCCAGGCCACCGAGGTCAACCATATCCATATCAGGTCTCCCCAGGATACGCGTGGCCCCCATCG